CCCACATAGCTTTCTTCGGTATCTACAAGCTCGCACATTTCTTTTCTAACCACCTCCTTCTGGTTACGCATGAGTATTCGACTTCGACCAATAGCCGTGACGCGTGAAGGGGCGCGCTTCATCTTGGAGGTCGGGATGAAGGCTGGTTCACCGAAGTGTTTTATGAGAGGCGCATGTTGCTTGTAGCGGCGCTCCAATAACTCGTCTTCTGTGACGTCGTCCTCGGTATTACTGTCGCTCGCAGCAGTTTGCTGTATAGAACCCGGCGGTAGAACGATGTCCAGATCCAGCCATGACGTGCATTGTTCTCCCAAAGCCCGTTGTATATCCTCAATTATGTGTTCCGCACTTTCGATCCTAGTCATGCGGCTCGCAAGGACAGCAATATGCGCGTCTCCGAAAAGACCGAATGCGGAAGCAGCTTTTTTCGAGGAGAGTACCTGTGTAGTCCAGGTCTCTTTCACCAGCTTAGGGATATCCGCAAAATATTTCGACAACCCGAATGCAAGTCCCCTGCATACTTCATCTGCTTGCTCTTCCCGCGGTAGTGCGTTGACAGCTGCATAGTAGGGAGAGTTTGGTGAGATGGCTAGGCGTGGATAGGATTCGAGTCCAGCGGGTGTGAAGATGTGTACTTGTATGCGCGAACTAGGTGCTCCAACTGAGGCGGCGGGGCCATAGAATACCACAACAGGCGAATTCTGGAGAAGGGGGTCGGTAGTGTGGAAAAGGGTAAGCTCCCCATTCAGAGCGGGCGGTGGTGGAATAACGGCGACCATTGCTGCCGTAATATTTCGCTGATACCGGCTGTTTATATGTACAGCATGTTCATTGGTATAATCAAGCTCATCCAGGAATGGGTATCAGTACGTTCGGTCGTGAAGTCGTATACACATTAATATTGGTCGTCCAGACGCGTGGATTGATGCATGTGCGCGTACAGAAAGCGGGTGTAAACAATGGATAAGGACCGGCCCGTAGCGAAGGAAGCAGCAAACGAGGGATGCTGGAAATAATGTAGTGAAGCTTAACCTTGCAGCTGGAATACGAAAGAGGAAGAAAGTTGGTAACACCGGGTCGCACAGCTGCGGCCAACAAAACAGAAACACATGCGGGGAGATCAGTGCGTTGCAATCGGGGAGCCGTTACAGTTTCAGATGTGGAAAAGAGTGGATTTAAGGTTTGACGCGTGAAGACGCGCTTCGGAGACCCTGCCGCGTCGCTATACCAGTCCGTCAGTTCTACCGAAAATCAGGTATACATAGGGACGAAGATATTCACCTGTGGTTTCGCTATTTAAACGTACGGCACATAACCATCTGATCAAGCAATGTCATCACAGACTGGAAACGAAATTCCCTTCAGTATATCGTCGGATCAACAGCATTTCCGGATACTAGAGCTGCCGCCAGAGGTGCTAGAACTCATAACCTCCCCAACTCCTCCAACGTCGGTGTCTTACTATGGTCCACGAAATGCGACTTACTGATCAGTCTGCAAGGTAGACTATACTTGAAGTCGCCAGACCCGCAATTAGCAGCATCTGCGGAAACTGTACTTTGCACCCCGAACAGAACATACTCACTACGCCAAGTCCATACCTCCAATTCACTATACATCGCCGCACCCAATGCTTCGGCAGCTTCAGAACCAGGAAGTATTCCTCAGTCAGGTATAAAGACCATCTCGAAACTTGGCTCGACCCTAGAGATCCTACCCTCCTCTGAAACCTCCGCCACTCCAATTCTTTCTCAAGCGCTACCGGTTTTCGCCGGACTAGACGATCTCGATCTTACCACATCATATTCATCTCGCAGCAAGGCCGCAATCTTTGAGGATGTGCCGTTTAGCGAGGGCGAATGTGAGCAAGCTTGGATCGACCTCGTGGCATTCCAATCAAGCTTGGACCACGATGGGCCATTGAGAGGCTTTCGTCCGTCAGCCAGTGTCTCATGTAAGGCTTGGAAGGCGATGCTTCTAGTTGCCACAGAAAACAGCATCAACTTGACCGCGTCGATACCTTCTGTCTATAATCAGATGCTGATCGAAGGCGCGGAAGAGTACCCCAAAGAGCTTGTCAAGGCCATCCTTCGCAGGCTGTCAGTTGGACCCCAGCAATCTTCTATCGAAATCGATCAAGCGAGAACGACGCAATGGACTGGCCTTACGCTTCTGGAGTCGCTGTGGCGTGACTTCGAAGCGGTACGGAAGAATGACTTTATCGAGAAGTGGAAAGATGCATTACCGGAGGCGTGGCGGGAAGGTGCATCTCTCAGTGTCCTTGGGGTAAGTCAAAAACAACTATTGAGAAGTGATAAAGCTAACAGCATGCAGGACGCATGCAAAGCCTCAGCAGATGGGAAGACACTCGAATACGTCCCAGAAGACAGCCGCACGGTGGCCAAAGCAGCAACCGAAGCAAAACCAGCCGCAAAAACAACAAGCAAGAGAAAGTGGCACGAAAAGTTCGCGCAAGCCAGGAAGAGGTAGTTTGAACAAAGACTTCTAATTGCCCATCTATACAACCAGAAAAACGCCACGCTATGCAATCACGCCCGGAAAACACGAGCCCTCGGCCATCTCATCTCACATGGGCAACCTCCTCATCTCCTCCGCGCTCCAATATTTGCGCATATTCTCCGCCCTCAACTCATGCACCTCATCATTCAAATGATCCCACAACACCTTCCCAAAGGTATCCAAAATCGTCTTCATCTCGTCCAACCGCAGCTCCTTCTCACCGCTCCTGCACTTGTTCAGGTAATCCTCAAACTTGTCCAGACCGCGATGGATCTCTTTATGTTGGGTCAAGAGCTGTAGCTCTTTCTTGAATGCAGGCATCTTGCGCGCGAGGACGGGGAAGATGTGCTGTTCTTCGATTGTGTGGTGAATGGTGAGGTGGTGACAGAACTCGTCGCCCATGGAGAGGAATTGGCGGATCGACATGCCGGCGGGACGTTTGCCGTTTGTGCAGGCGGAGTACAGGTAGTTCCATGTCCTGCGGAAGTTCTCATGCTGGGAAGTGTGTGTTAGTGTGGGCTGGGAGGCCGTACTTAGGGCGGGGAAGACTTACAAACATGTCCATGTGGTCGGCCATGCGATTGTATATTCTGAGCTCTTGCGGACTGAGCTTGGGGAGATTTTGTTCCTCCTGCTTCGGCGCAGCTTCCTTAGTAGGCTCAGGCGCTTTTGGTTCGCCCTCCCTCTCCATCTTCTCGAATGGGCCTTCCATTGTATTGATCTGTCTTGTTGGCGATCTCAAACACTGTACAGGTCGTAAGATCGATTGCTGAGGGCTATGGTATTTTGCGACTCGCAGAAATTGTCTCGCCACGGGACTGCGAAACATGATAATAAGCCATGTTGACTTGCGCGCCCTTAGAAGTAGTGGAAAGACGATGGCTAGAACGCGGGCTAATTAGCTGCCAATCATTTATAAGACGCGGGAATAAACTTCGGCTGCGCGGGAGATCTCTGGATAAGATCGATAAGATCTGGTCTTGGCGTTTTGCTTTTGTGCGAATCAGCGCGCGTTTTTGGTCAGACATAAACTACGCGACCAATTGCTCCAGCATGGCAACATAAACATCGCAGAAAGCCTTCCTACCACTCCTCGAATTAGGGGGAATATTCTGCTCATCTACTGCAAGAAATTTGTGTGTGCGGCCTCATTGCAATGCACTGATACCCTTGCTTGTTGACAACGAGTACTCTGATTGCAGAGGTTCCCTAACAAGCAGCATTGTGATACTCACAGACAACCTGTGCATGGCGCACAACACGTCTGTTTGTCCACTGACTTTGCTTCCCATACTATGTTGTCTTCCATACCACTTTATATGTATAACCAATTTTTTTGACTTTCCCTCATCCAACATTGTCCAAATCCGTAATGAGGCTGCTCACAGCCCATCGAGCATATCAAGTATATACTATATAATGCGGCACAGTACTCATTACTCAAAGAGTGACTGGAACTTCCAACACAACGAGGAATGAGGACAGCCGTCACAATCGTCTTCCGTGCAGCATGAGTGTGCCGCCGATCGTTTCCATGCATAGCACGCTCGGGGGCCTTTCAATTCGAATGCCTCCACTAAAGCAGTGCCTAGCAGCTATTGCGCATCGTTCGTGCGAATTATGAAGCGAAGCTTTTGACACGGTTCGATTCTCGTGATTACCATTCAGGACAGACTGCGCATCGATGACTGGCCATACGACCTTTGATATTCAAAACTACCTACCCATTGCAGGGACACACATGTGTCTCTTACGCTCGTTCTATGTTGACTACATGTCGTATCAAGAGCACATTATTTTCCTCATGCAAAGGAAAAGAAATGAAGACTGCAGTCGAAGCCAAGGGCATGCCTTTCCTGGACTGAACTGCCTCGAGACAATGAAGCACGTGTTCCACAGCTCGGGACTGTTCAAAGGGGCTCTCTTTGGCTGCGGAAAACCCACGCCGCACAGGAGTACCATGCAGCTCTGCCGCAGCAAGACCAATTTCTACCTACCGCCTCATAAGTCGGCACATCGACCATCAAAAGACCGGAATCGTCCTGTGTTGTCTCTTCATATGGCAGCGGGCCATGAGAAGGAACTTCGCAATGCAGTGGAGCGCGTGTTATGATGTTCCCGGCTCCAGGCTTCGTCTCACCCCTCCCGCGTCCGACGCCCGCCAAAAAAGTTTGGACCAGCCCCCCGACGCCCAACCACGCCTTGTGGACGTGCTAAGAGCCAACTGAAGATGTGCGAAGCATCATACACGCCCAACAACCCCCCGGGAGATATTTGGACGCCTCAGGGACGCACACGAGGCCCATACCGTTTGGAAACTTGCCTATCATGAAGGATATGCCTTAATTGCCTCACGAACGATGTTTCGCTATAGGCTATACCAAGGAGAGCGTGTTATAAGAGTCCTGGGCGTTTCTGGGTCGTTTTCGCTAGCGTTCTGCAATTATGTATTTCCTAAAATGAATCTTCAGTATCAACTAGCAGCTGTGGTGTAGTGGTTATCACTTTCGTCTAACATTTCCTATCACGGAATAGTGAACACGAACGGTCCCCGGTTCGAAACCGGGCAGCTGTATTTTTTTTAGCCTAAAGTTCCTCGTAATCAGAATCGCAGCTGCCACTGCCTTCCTACTCTGGCCCAAGTATCATGGATAACATTGTTATGGCAATAACGAGGAGATCACCGCCTAGCCATTCTACTAGGTACCTATGTAAAATGGCAGTTCGTCTGATTAGAGTTTAAGTTAGGGGGTTGTAGTGGTACATTATACGCGCGCGGTCTCGTAAGTCTCTTTAATGCGTACCTTGCGCGTGCGAGGACCATCTCCAAGGGGCCCGGGATGTTTACGAGCCGATACTGGCCTGCATGGCTTTGGAAAGGCGAAATATGGTCGATGAGTGAAGTCGAATTCTACTGCCACAGACCGGCGCCAAACCCTGGGACTCGAGGCACGGATACGCATTTCAGGACTACAGTAAAAGCTAGAATGCGAAGGATTTCGATGCGTTCTCTGTTACTTCCGCCCCGGCCTCATTTCCAAGGTTCTATGCTATACACATCTTCATCCAGAGCTCGCACAGACTGTCCGGAATCTACATGATCGTATATAACACGGGAGCTTGAATCATTCGGAGAAGGATATGATACTACATGTTTCGTTCGTGACATTCCGGACGGGGTTAAATGCATAAGGTAGAATGGGAAAGCAATGATTGGAGACCTCCGTCCCTAGTCAACAAGCTGGCTACCGCACTGGATTGTGACTACTGAACAACATCACTGGTACATGACATGATACTGGAGGCTGTGTTGACTTTAATATGACTCGCAACCCCTGCGAATGTCCTTTCACAGCATTCGTACCAAGAGCTGGTTTAGGAATACATCCCGAGACCGATCAAGCGTCTCGTCACCCGTCCTTCTTAGCAACCTGCCTTCACCATGAAAGCATATTCCGCAAACTAAGAGAGAACCTTCATCGCCATTGGCCACCTCAACATACATCTGACGGACCTGTCCAAAATGCTTCAAAGTTGCCTACACATTCAATCCTCGCCCTTCAATTGCTCCTCAATCTCCTCCAAATCGTCGACGCTATCAATCTCAATGATTCTTCCAACCTCTGCTGTGTTGCGCATAAGCTCCTTCGCACCAGCGTACAACATCTTCGTCTCGCTGTTGCAGGTGACTGGCATGTAGTACAGCATAACATATGGTACGGACAAACGGCCAGAAGCCTACTCGGCTGTCAGCATCTATACCCGTGTATGCCTTTCCATGATATCGAGCATACCATTGTCAACGGGTAGCTCAGCAGAATAAACCGCGGAGAGTGATCGGGCAATTCGTCTCCTAGCTCTTGCAGGTTGCTATACACCTCATCTTCCGCTTGAGAGATCTCAAGGGTCTTCTTATCGATCTGGTCTTCCTTGCTATCGTATGAGCCTGTGTGCTGCGTATTCGATGTGTATGCGCTCACATATCACCGCTTGAGGGTCCTTTGCGCGCGATGTGCCTAATCTGAACTTCCTGAGTGCCGTCTTGGTTTCTGGCGAGAAGGTATATAGGCGAGATTCTGATGCCTGCCATATGGGTTAGCGGTTGTCAAGCCACAGCCCAACTATCGTACCATAGCGAATGCTGTCTGTATACTGGGAGAATAGGCTACAGTACTGAACAGATGGCATGCGTTGGCCGGCTGGTTGACGCGATGCGAGCCCCGCGCTCACCCCACATTCCATGACATCGATGTCTCTCCGGCTTCGATCATTCACTTCCACCAACACTCCTTCCACTACCACAGCATCCATGTTCAGCCGCCTGAATCAAGTGGCAAGACACCTATCACGGCCTCTACCAAACTATATCCATCGCTCAGCAGCATCATTTCGACCACTAGGCGCAACATCAACGACGTCATCAGCCATGGCTCAAGCCAACAGCAAGAAGATGATACACACAGCAGGCGCCATAATAATCGGCGACGAAGTCCTAGGCGGCAAGGTCAATCTCCCTCCCCCCACTCCAAGTCCCCCAATCCCATCAATCCCATCCCTCTCCCCCCATACCCCTTCCAAGCACCCCAACTGAACCGACCAATCCAGCACTAGACCACCGACACCAACTCCGCCTACTTCGCAAAATGGTGTTTCAGCCTCGGGATCGCCCTAAAACGCATCGAAGTCATCGGCGACGACGAGGCCGAAATCATCGAAGCCGCGCAACGAATGTCGCGCAGCTACGACTTCGTGGTCACCAGCGGCGGCATCGGCCCGACCCACGACGACATCACGTACCAGAGCATTGCGCGCGCGTTCGACCTGCCGCTGACGCTGCACGAGGGTGCGTTTCAGCGGATGAAGAAGCTCAGTCGGCCGCACCCGTCGCAGCCTAGTTTCGACTGGGAGGCGCCGAGCGCGGCGCTGACGGCGAAGAAGCGGATGGTGGAGGTGCCGTACGACAGCGCTGTGCCGGACGAGGACCAGGTCGTGTTCGTGAGCGAGGAGCTCTGGGTACCCGTCAGCGTGGCGAATGGCAACGTGCACATCCTGCCGGGGGTGCCGCGGTTGTTTGAGAAGATGATTGATGGGCTGAAGCCGCGGGTGTTGCCGCGGTTGACGGATCCGGAGGGCAAGGGCGTGTATAGGGTGCTGTTTTCGACGCCGTTGGCGGAGAGCGCGGTGGCGGGGTATTTGACTGAATTGGCGGCGAAGGTTGAGCCGAAGGGGGTCAAGGTCGGGAGGTGAGTTGAACATTACGGGTGCAGGAGGCTTTTATGGGAGCGAATGGATACTGATGTGTCATACAGCTACCCGAGATGGGGCAAGGCCAGGAACACGGTCACTCTGGTTGGCAGGAATAAGGATTTCATGGACAGCTTGGTGCCGGAGGTTGAGAAGGGCGTGCAGGGAAGGCGAGTGAGCGTGGAAGGAGAGGACGACGAGCCAGGCTCCGACAAGGATGCATGATGGAAATCCATAAATTGGTGGACAAGTAGTCTCCGCCATGCCATAACGTTGACTTTAATCTACATACTTCCTCATCATCAACTCCGCTTGTTGAAACCCCAGCATGTTTTATCCCTCGAACGGCATCTCTACTCTACGCTACTCTACTCTATTCTGGTGTTGATACCAGACCAAATCTACGACCGAACCACCGCATCAAGCGGCAACGACTCTCTCCACTGCAAACCGAGAGTGGAGAAACGCAATCCAGCAACGCCAAAACACCTTTCCCTCTTCGCTGTCGTCTTAGTGCGCAGCCCCATTTATCCCATCCACCCCATTAACCTCATCCTTGGCCTTCTGACCCCTCTTGCCCGCCTCCTTGGCAATCTCATCAACCATCTGCTTCTCCAACGCCTTCTTCTCCTCCTTAACGTCCGGGCCCGTCAAGCCCTTCCGAATCGCCAGCACGCTATCGACAATCACAGCATCAATTCCCTCCTTAACCTGCAGCGCCACATTCTTCGGATCATTGTTCTGCGCGCCATAACTCACACACACCAGTCCACTCTCCTTGACAACCCTGACCAGTCTCGGACACGTAACCAGCGGCTCCGCAGCACTGACAATGCCGAGGAGATTCCAGCGGGTGGCGAACCGGATGGCTTCTTGGAGGGAAGAAGCGCGGATATCGCCGACGGGCTCGACGCCGACATCGGAGAGGAAGAGGACGGGGATGGAGGGCTGTTTGAAGGAGAGCAGGAGACAGATGTCTGGGTTGAAGGAGGAGAAGATGATGTTGCGGCCGACGCCCAGGTCGTAGACCTTGTTCAAGACGGTGTCGACGAAGGAGTTAAGCTCGACGGCGTAGGTGTCCATTTCATGCTCTTCGGATTCGTGGAGCATAGGGTATTCTGGCGGGTGTGTTAGTGAGGGAAAGGGGAAGGGGAAGTGGGTGGGGATGCGAATTACTCATTTCGATGTTGAAGCCGATAGAGGGTGGGAGTTTCTTGAACATCTCTTCAAGGGTGGTGAAGGGTGCTTGGATGAAGTTTCCTCTGCTGTTACCCTTGTAACCCTTCAGCTTGTAGTCTCTAGTATGTTTCATGCGCTCTTCCATGTCCGGCTTGTTATTCTCTTCGGGCGCACCAACGGAATAGGAACGTTGCACCCGGCCAGTACGTTGTCCATTGGTTGCCTTGCTTTCCGAAGCCATTGGAGAAACAGGACGAGAGGGCCTTGGAGTCTGACCGTCGCTCACGTGAAGGAATTGTTCGAGGGTCAAGGTATGAACTGGAGCATCCAGACCAGTCTCACTGACCAGGAAATCGTGGTAAATGACCGGAACATGATCCTTCGTGAGTTGCACGTCAAATTCGACATATGATGCACCCAAGTTCGCCGCAGCAATGAACGATTGAATGGTGTTCTCGCCAAGCTGCAACGACTTCATCGACGCCATGTTCTTTCCAAGACCTCTGTGGCCAATGACCATGGTCGAAGTACTCTTCCAGTAAGTCTGGTTCTCAGTGATACTCATGTTTGGGTGGGTAAAGGGCGTGATGATGAGGAAGTTGAAGTTGACTGATCCAATCACGTCAAGAGTCTCAGCCGCCACAATTGGCACGCTCAAATCACCCTGAAGAGAGATGCGCTTGGAGCCAATGTTTGGCTTGATGCTGGAAAGCAGCGCAACTCCACGACCAACAATCTTATCCTTCGAACCAGCGTAGGTCGGAACAATATCGAAAAGCAGCTTAACCTTCGTCGGGTCCATGGTATAGAACGTGATTGGGGATGTGCTGATGTTTTCCTGAACAGGAAGATCGATAATGGTTGGTTCACCAGTGGCACCCTGGGCGGAAACGACGATAGACAGCGCAGTATCCAGCTGGGTAGAGTGAGCGTCAGTGAGCGGGATACTGTCGAGCGTGACTGCTGGGGTATTCTTCCGAATATCCATCGAACCAAGACTGACCAAGACCATTGTCTCTTTAGTCAGGTAACGATGTCCGAAAGTCTTCACAGGTTCCGGGTTCCTGTTGCTGTCTTTGGAAATCGCGTTAGACCTGCGCTCCTCCAGAGAAGTGGTGGTAGTAGGTGGCGATCCATTTTCACCGTTGGCAG